TTTCATTGATTGAAATTCTCAACATTGTTAGCAAAACTCTAGTGAAAAATCATTTTTTTGGCTGAATTTATCAAACCAACGGTGAAATTTGTAAAAGAGATCCGCTTTTTACACGGACATAATTCCAACTTTTAAACAGTTTGAAGAGATTTCACAGAGAGAAAAAATGTGGTATTTTTAATTCAATTTTGGTAGATTTATATAAAATCAACCAACAACGAATTAAATTTATCATTTATAAGTTTTACCAATTGCTCCATTACATTCAAGCCAAATTCATGGGCTACCGTCATCTTTGCTTTCGAAAAAATGGTAAATGTAATGAAGCAGCTGGTGAAACTTATTCAACAAATATTCACTTTTGAAAAATATGCCTCAGAGATGTCAAAAATGGTAAATCAAGACGTTCATTAAACCCCAATAAGACATAATTGAATGGGGTAGAATAAAAACTACTTCTCGAAAAATTGCTATTTTAAAACGAAACCTAAAAAAAATTTCAATAAAAAGTGAATCAATTTTTTTTTTGTCCAATTGAAGTGAATCAAGAAAATTTTGTTCAATAAAAGTGAACCAAAAAAAAAAAATTCACTCGGTTTTTTCAGTGTAAAATACACTAAAATGAATTTTTTTTTTGGGTTCACTTTTATTGAACAATTTTTTTTTGGTTCACTTCAATTGGACGAAAAAAAATTGATTCAATTTTCAATTGAAAGATTTTTTTAGGTTTCGTGTTTAAACATTTTTCGAGAAGTAGTTTTTATTCTACTCCATTCAATTAGACTAATCTGAATTAAGAGAAAATATACATACTCATATAAAAACAAATGACGGTGTACTACTATATGTCAATGCAACAGCACTCAAATCAACTGATTTTTGTTCAAACAGAATTTTTAAACCGCCACGCTCCTAAAATATTATTTACATCGTGTGTTTTTTATTCGACAACAATTTTTTAACAAAAAATAACGTGACGCTTATCTTTAACGTTAAATGGACGTGTACACCGACATTTGTTTTTATATGAGATATTTCCAAATTTACAGACACTGAATATGCCGATTCCGATAAAATTTTATTACTTGAAAATGTTAAATTTCAAAATTTAACTAATGTAAATATGCAAACGGTTTCGTTGGCGATCCTTCCAAAGTTAGATATTTTCACGAAAATGTTCAATTTATTCATAGGTTCTGGCAAAATACCATGCATTGGTCATTGCAATGAAACGGTTGCAACCAACATTGTACAATACAAAAGTAGATATAGACATAATGGAAAAAAAAATACGTCAATAAAGATTATGAAGTAATAATTTATTAAGTAATTTTCATTCTTAAAAATAATAATTTATCGCTGTAAGAAAAATGTATTTTACAATTAGTTTATGGCGATATGTAACGTATTCTTAATCACACTGCAGATGGGAGCTTTGCAGTTGATAACATGTGTGCAATGTATGAGAAATATATTAAAGAATTGACTACTGATGCGCCGCGTCTACGACATTTATTCACAATGATTTGTGGATCAACAATTATTATGATCAGAAAAGGTACATCAAATAATAAATTAACCAGTAAGTTTTATGTTTTACGATTTTGCATTATTTTCTTATTTTTGCGGATTTCTCTTTATTCGTTGACTATTATAATTCGGAGTTTCAAAAAATGGACGTACAAACCTTTGTATGCCACATTTTTGTTTTGAATGAAAAGAGATTTTTTTTCAAACGTCATCAAAATGGATCTATCATGAAAATTACCATTCGACCTCGGTCCCCTTGAAATATATTTTTAAAAAATGGGTCACATCTTTTCATCAATCTGCATAAGTAACTCTGCGCCAAAAAAAATCGTCACTTCCACTATTATCGATATACCCTAATATTTAAAATCAGTCAATTTAAAACAGCGTTCCTTCGCCTTCCTTGGTGGTTAACTGAAAATAATATAATTAAATAAACAAATATAATACAATTTGATTTTTATCAAGCATTTTTGAGATAGTATATGAAAATTTATTGTTTCTTTCCTTTCATGTAAATAATATAAATTTCATAATTTTCCAACTACTTAAAATTTCTATAATCCATAACAAATATTTGTATTTATCTGTTTTGCTTTGAATAATTTTCTGTTCTCAGTTTGACTGTTGATAAGTTTACTTCTAAATCAATTAAATTTTTATCACTGTTTGCCATTTTTTTGGTATAAAAATCGTTGAATGATGTAAGCATATAATTTATTGGTTCATATTTTGTGTAATCAGTTCTCCTAATTGGTAAATCAAATAGTGGTGTTGCTCTGGTATCTTGTGCTGAATCATAATATTTCATACTGTTTAAAACATAAGTTGACTTTAAATCTCCGTGAATAATTTTGAAAATAAAAGACACTTGCGCCATCTTGCGTCTCTCCTCAAGAGTAATCATTTGCAGAAATAGTAGTCTGTGTTCGTATTTTGGTAGTCTAAAATCATTCCAGGCCATTCTCCTCAGAGCATATATCAAAAATTGCTTTTGTATTGACTCTATTCTTTTGCACATATTGTCGTAGTGTGGAGTCCAAATTTCAGATCCATACTCAATAATCGGTACAATAAATGTAAAGTAAAGGCGTTTTAATGTCCATGGGTCGACAAAATCCCTGCTGTTGAATTTTAACCAAGCCAATCTTGATTTTGCCTTTGCAGCAACATGTTCAATGTGTGATTTGAAATTCATCCTCACATCAAGCAATACTCCCAAGTCCTTCATTACTTCAACTCTTTCAATTTGCACGCCATCTACGTTGTAATTATATTCATATTTCATTGATTCACGAAGATATGTTATTAATTTTATTTTGTTAACGTTTAACTTTAATAAATTGCGCCCATAGTAATTTGCTACACGATCTTAATCCCTTTGAAGATGAATGCAGTCATCTTCTGATTTTATACATTTTGAAATTTTGGTATCATCAGCGAATGAAAGGATGTATGAATTGGTCACGACGAATGGTAGACCAATCACAACCATGATGATCAAGGTTGCGCCAATGGGATAACCTTGACCAGTACCAGAAGTTACTTCAATTGGGTCAGATTTGGTATCTGATATCTTGACTATTTGTCTGCGTCCAGACAAATACGATTCGATCCATTTTAACAGCTGCTCATTCAATCCCATGATGTTTAGCTTTTGAATTAGTAATTTTATATTCACAGAATCAAAAGCCTTTGCGATGTCCAAATATATGGTGTCGGTTTGATGTCCCTTTCCCATGTTGATTATCGTATTCGATGTAAATCCTGCCAAGTTCGTTATCGTTGACCTATTGTTGATGAACCCATGCTGACTTTCGTGTACTATGTTCTTTAGATATTGATAAAGATGGTTCGTGATGATCGAATCTAGAATGTTTGACACATACATTGAAGAGCGACACCACGGTAATTTTGAACGTTGTTTTTGTCACCGTTTTTGTAAACCGGTCTGACAAAAGACGTTCTCCAAATCTTTGGTACAGTGTATGTTTCAAGAGATTCTCTTAACAATGTTGTGATTGGCCCCTGCAATGAAACCAAACAATGCTTGATAAATTTATTTGGTATTTCATCTGGACCACTGACTAGATCATCAGGGAGCATGTCAATTTGTTGATCAACAAGCTCGTCAGTTATTTCAACCGGTGATATTTCTGCACAAATGTCGCAAATATTTTCAATCTCCGAGCTATCAAATTGTAGATCTCCCTTCAAAGAGCTGTAGGCTGAGGCAAAGTGCTTTGTAAAGAAACCAGCGATTGTAGACTGGTTACCTGCCCTCATATCCAGATAAGACATCTCATGCGGCAGATCATCACTTTTCCATTTTTTGTAATTCACATGCCTGAAAAATTTCTTTCAATAAACGTGAATTGAGTAAGGAGACGAAATTGATGATTCACCAGTCAGTCTTCAGACCAACTGTCCTTTACGTAAAGTTTACGGAAGCGAGAGCTGGGTCGATTCTCAAAATTTAATACATGGTCTGGAAGTGGCTGATATGAAAGTGTTGCGTATGATTTCTGGAGTATCGCGTAGAGATCAATGGGAAAATCGTATTCGAAACGAAAGAATCCGTGATGAGTTGAAGTTTGAGTCGGTTGATGACGTCGCAAGGAAGTCAAGATTGAGATGGTTTGGACATGCAACGTATGAGTGAGTCGCGTTTGCCAAAGAAGATTTTGTATGCTCAATTCTGTAATCCTTGGGTGCTGACCGTGCACTGTGTTTATATTCTCTTCTTAATTGTTTCTAAAATATTCTACTGATTAAAATGTGTTAAGCTTTGCTGACTTTGTTTTTCATCTCGATTAGTGGCTTGTTAAACCATTTCGGTTGCTTCCTGATGATTTTTCTTTTTAACTGGACATTAGTTTCGATTGTTGACTTTACAATTCGTTACAATTGTATAGAAATTGTCAAGTCTTAGTTCTTATGAATTTGTATCGAATTCCTTACTCACAAGATTTCGATTAGTCCAGATTAGTCAGTATTTCAATTAGTCCAGTACTGACTCAATATGAATTTTAATTTTGAAACAAGTAATTCAGTGGAAATTTACTCTGTTTTTTTTTTTTTGCATAAATAAGTTCTTCTATGTGCCATGTTTCTCTGTTTCTTAGATCACTCTCATTGAACTCTTTTATGCTCTGGATGGCAGCAACGCTGGATGAAACTCTGTTATTAAGTACGGATTCGTCATATGCGAATAAAATATGACCAAATGTGAAGGCAAGTTTCTTTGACATATGATTTGTTCAGAGTATTAAAAGAAACTACCAATGAAACACTTACCGCAAACACTTTGAATTAAATCTTAATTCTAATTTTCAAGCATCCATTTTAGCATCCATCATTGCTTCATCCGGTCATCGATCCGCTGCCTGATTGAAAGAATACCGCTCATTTATCTCGCAATTGAGACAGATCGATGGAGGGAAGAAGGAGGAAATAAAACACAAACACCATTCGAATATTCAATCCAAATTGAATGACTAGATTTTATCCAATTTTTGTTCAATGTTCTTACATTCGTCTACTACATTGTATTCCGTAAAGTGTATGTTTGTTTTCGAGAGAGATAGAGTGAGAGACAAATAAAGATAAACTCAAAACGAAAACGAAAACACTCAAAAATACGTTTGAAATTAAATTTAAATGAACTGAGAATTACGAGCAATATTAATAATGTTCAATTCACAAACTGAAAAGAAATGTGTATAGCATTAAGTATATCTTGAGTGAATGTTGTTGTCTTTTTTCTATAATTTCTCAGTCAGTTTGATGTTCCTGTTGATCTTATTATTATTTTTATCAATATTATTAATACATTTATTATCTCAATTACGAACAATAAGTTCTTGTGCATAAAATATATTTACGAAATTCTAATGGAAAATAATTTAATCTGTTTCATTGTTTTTTTAAATTTATAGATGAAATAGGGGTAAAAGTTTTTTAATCGAAAGATAAAATATGTGGCCAAATTGTATAAGCGCCCTAATTTTCATTAAATAAAACTTATTGGTTCTCTTATATATTTTTTTTTGTTTTCTTTTTTTAATTCTATACATTCTTCTTTTGCTAAATGCTAAAAAACAAACAAACAAATTACCGTACAGATGAAAGCATCTGAAATTTGAATTAAAAATAAATAGATTCTTTCATTTTCATTTCGTCGGTTTTTGTTATCTAGAGTAGCACACGGTGCATAAACTCACACTTATCTATACAATAAATTAAAGAGATTGGAATTAAAAAAATTGTTCCAAAAAAGTTGATAAAAGAAAAATAGAATGTGGGAGTTGCTTTGAAGGGATCTACAGCAAAGAAGAAGAGATGAAAATATGGTTTATTTGACTTATTCAAGATTCGTCAAAATAAGACACTTTAGAAAACCTATTCCTTTGCTTTGTGTGTAGCATTATATTTATAAATGTTTGTTTTTTTTTCTCTTCCTGTTACAAAATCGAGACAAATTTAAATTTATTCTGAGGAAAATTGTCAAATCCAATTCGATTAACACGACAAAAAGCGATATCAATTCAATTAGCACTTGATTTTCGAATTTTAAAAAGGAAGAGTCTACCGAGCTGTTTTCTGTGCACGGTGTAAGTCCGTTTTAAGAATATCTCATTTGCAAAATGTTAAAATGCATGTTTGGTAAAACACAGAAGCTCCCATTGACACGAATACAATTTATGTTGTTGTTATTTTTCGTTCGTTTTAATGTGTGATTAATTTTAGATGAAAATAATTAAAAACGAGTTAAAATTCAAATGGTGTAAATCCGATTTTCGGCAATGTATTATGCCATACATTAATCATTTTTTTTCATGTTTTTCGTTACAAAAAAACGTATATTATCAACAATTTCATGTTTTTTTCTTCATCAATTTTGTAAGTTGAGCAAATATTTGTATGTAGCACATATCGAGATAAAATTCTCATTACATTATCTTTCAACAACAATGTGTTGTAGTTGTTTTTTTTTTTTAATTATTATTTTAGAATAATGACACATATGACAAGTTGGATGCATTCAAACAGTTGACTGAAATCAGAACATACAGAAGAAATGTGTATCTCCTGGAGGAAGGAATCATAATTGGCAATTATCGTCAATTTTCAATTGTATATATGTATGTCTTGATTGCTTGTAAAATAATTCAATGAACATTTCGAATATATGTGTATATTTTTGTGTTTGGATGCTATTTTTTTTTTCTATTGTTGTTATATGTTTTTCGACAGAGCACAAGTATACATGTATAGATATGGGTGTGTGTAATATATGGCCACTACAATTTTGTAAATATAATTATATAATATAGCAAATAGCCAAATAGCTCTTAAATTTCTGCCTGAGTGTTTATCAAATAAATGATGTGCATCATTTTATTAAATAAATTCCGTCAAATGTGTATTAACCTTTCATATTTTAAACATCAATTTTAAACAATTACCAATAAATATTCAGTTGTATTCATTTGAGTTTGTTATTTAAATACTTGAACCTGCATATAAAATAAAACAAAAACGATAAATGTATCCACGATAAGAAATTGGGAGCAATAGTGCAGTATGAAAACAGAAACAAAAAAATAAATGCATTTGAGATAGATGAGAAACGAGTGAGAATGTATATAGTTAAGATGCATTGAATGACAAAAGGCAATTAAATTTATTGTAATTGTTGATTTTTTCTTGTCTTGTTGGTTTTGTTTGATTTACCTTTCACTGAGAAAAGTATGTTGTTGTTAGTTATTTTTCTTTGTTATTTAAATACTTTCACTAAAACACACATAAATTCTATGCCAAACTTCTATTTGAGTTGAAAATCATGTTGTTGTTCATTTGATTTTTTAAACAAACTCAAATTGTTGGCAAAAATAGTTTTAATATTGAACTACACAAGTTTCCAGAACTTTGTCCCAATATATATATATTTATAAACACTAAATGTCTAATTCGTTTTTGTTGTCTTGATTTGGTTTGCAATAAATTAGCTGTAAAAAAAACTAATGTCATTACAAATTACAATATATAGCTAATGCTTAGATAGACATTCTTCTGCATTGAGATAGAGATAAATGTGTCTTTTTATTTTAAATAATTGTTATGCTCTCTGATGTTTCAATCCAATTTTGTATTGAATTTGAACATTCAATGTATGTCTCCATGTCATTTCGTTTGTATAAATATCCGATGCTGTTGTGTGAGTTTATTTGTATATGAATATATCTCTCTCTGTTTTGTTTTCTCTCGCTTACTCTATCTCTCAATCTAGCTGTTCTCTATGTCTCATTCGCATGCGAGCTTTCCGTCAAAACTACTCAAAGCAATTGCAAATGCTTGCAAGGCACACAAAGGGTATCGAAAATCCATTGTAAATACATCTTCTGACGTTCGACCAAATTGCATTACAATATATTCGGGATCTGAATCATGAACCAGTTGAAAGTTTTTCACCGATGCCTGCGTAACCCGACCATGGAAATTTAAAACATACGATTGTGTATCATCATTCCAAACGGGCGTTTTATTATGCAATTCCACAACATTGTCCATATTCTGTGTGAGTAAATGATTCGATTAAGTTATGGGTTCATTTATAATGAAACTTTGTTTGTCCACAGAAACTATTACCTTTGTTTTCCAGCTATCTAACAATCCCTGTTGTGTTGAATCACATGAACTTATTTTGACACGTTGATCGTCTTCAGTCATGCCAGGCAAAAGAACTGTCATATTGCGTGGACCTTTGAAACCCAAAATATTGGTATCCTATCGCATAATCCAAAGAATAAAAAGAATGTATGAATGAATAAAAA